GGGGTCGCAGTGTCCACTGTGAACAGGCCGGACACCGGGTTCCGGGGGAACGTGGTGAGGGGGGCACCAGTGGCGGCCTCGGTACAGACAGCGTACCGCTCATGACCAATGAACGTAGTGGTGACACCAAGGTCCTGGAGGCAGCCGACACCAACTAGGTTCCTGGAGAACGAGGGGATGTGCAGGCCTGTAAGAGAGCCCCAAGGAATTGCCGGATAGGGAAGGGTGGTGGAACTGCGAGCGACTACCGGGCCGGAGGAGGGGTCGGCAAGGGAAACTGCAGCAAGAGTAGCCAGAGGCGTCAGCGTAATGGAGTCACGGGAGAAACACCGAGAAGCGCCAGAGTCGAGGGTGAAGGAGAGCGCAACGGTGGCGTCTGAAGACAGAGCAGCGACAGTAGAACCTATGCTAAACAAAGCAGGGGATCCGACGCCTGACGCAGCAGGGGAGGCAAGACTAGGCAACAAGGGGTAGTAAGAAGCAGTCACACTAGAGTCATCAGCATACATCATATGCAAAGCAGCAACAATCTCGTCCAAGTCCATATCAAAGATCTGAACACTATGGCGAAGCAAGCTATGCCAGTCGGGGAGGTCGGGCAACGGGCCGAAGCGCTGACGAAACAGGTCGTCCAGGCGACGGAAACAGCGGACTGGGGTGTGACCCATCTTACCGCAAACAGAACCACGGCGAGGACCGGTCTGGAGCTGGTACTGAATTCACTCGACCCGCCACCCGGCAGCCCACCACGCGCACAACCACCACGTCTACCGCCACCACCAGCGCCAGGCCACCCGAGCGGGAGGCCACTCGCTCGCCTCTGCTGCTGCGGCTGCTGAGGCTGGTGCAAGGGCTGCTGCTGCGGCTAGTGCGTGTCCGGTTGCGACACCTGCGGCTGCTGAGGCGGCTGCTCGGCTGCACCTGTCAGGGTCCCCTCGTTAGCGCTACCATGAGGCGACCCGACTCCACCACCACCTCCACCTGCACCTCCACCCCCATCGCCGCACCCATCCTTGGGGCGGCTGCCCTTCCCGGAACGGATCTGCGCTGCAGCTGCGGACTCAGCCACAGCGACAGAACCATCGGAGAAGGTGCACTGAGCGGGGGCACAACCCTGAAAGATAGGGACCGGCACAGTACCGCTGGTCTGTGACAATCAGGGTGTCAACAAAGTCAGTGAGAGTGAGGTCACCAGGGTGGGTGCTAAGGAAGTGGTCGCGGGCAGTAGCAAGACGATCAGGGAGGCGGGTGGCAAGCAGGTAGAGGGCAGAGCAGAGAGATGGCTGAAACGCTCTAAGCTGGGTCTTAGTGCACGCAGCACGCCAGGTCGCGTCTATTGTGTGCAGGTGAGCGGCTAGGTCAGCGACAGCAGGGAAGGACGCAAGGTCAGGGAAGAGCATCAGCAGGATCAGGCGACCTACAGAGGCAGCAGGCGGGGTGGAATAGCGCTTGACGACGGCCTCTAGAAACTCCAGCGCAGTCGTGACTGACCTAAAGCGTGCGCGCTCAGACAGGGGGAGGGCATAACTGATCGCAAGCTGTGCGAATACGTCACGCGACAGCCAAACTGAGCGGGCAAGGGCAGCAGTTGCAGTGGACTCACGGTCAGCGGACGAGGGGTCAGGGCAGGGGAGCGTACCGTCAAGGTGGACCACAAGGGAGTGGCCGTCATGCCGCTGACCAGTGAGGTGACGCCGGAGGTCGACCAGCCACGTGTCAAACTCGATCGTCTGTCCCTCTGCGTCGAAGCGGAGCACGGATTCCGCCATCAGGAGCGATGCAGCAGCGGCGCAGTGCTGTACGGTGCAGTGTGGTGCTATGCGGTACTGTGCGGTGCTGTGCGATGCAGAGCGGTGCAGTGCGGTGCAGTGCTGTGCTGTGCGGTGCAGTGCGGTGCTGTGCGGTACAGAGTGGTGTAGTGCTGTGCAATGCGGTGCACAGGAGTACAGCGCGGTGTAGTGCGGTATTGTGCGGTGTTATGCGGTGTAGAGCGGTGCCTGGCGGTGCTGGTCGGGAAGGACGAGCCGGGCACGAGTCGGAGGTGGGCGGCGGCGAAACGAACGCGGGGCCGGCGCAGAGCGGGCGTGAAGAGGCCGGCTAGGAGAGGGCGCGGGGCCAACAAGGGGCGGGCACAAGGGGCCGGTACGGGGCGAGCGCGACGGGGGTGCGAGGGGCCGGCTAGGGACGGGCGCGACGCCTCTGGGGAGGGGCCGGCTAGGGACGGGCGTGACGGCTGGGACGGGTGCAATGGCGTTGGGAGCCGGCTAGGACGGCAGCGGCGGCTCAAGGGGGGCCGGCTAGGACGTGCGCGACGGCGCAGGGGGCCGACTAGGATGGGCACGACGGCTCAGGGTGGCGGCTAGGACGTGCGCGAATGGTGCAGGGGGGCCGGCTAGGAACAGGCGCGGCGACTCAAGGGGCTGGCTAGGACGGGCGCGACGGCTCAGGGGGCCGGCTAGAATGGGCGCGAACGGCTCAAGGGGCCGGCTAGGACGGGCGCGACGGCTCAGAGGGCCGGCTAGGACGGGCGCAAACGGCGCAGGGGGGGGCTGGCTAGGAACAGGCGCGAGGGCTCAGGGGGCCGGCTAGGACGGGCGCGAACGGCTTAAGGGGCCGGCTAGGACGGGCGCGACGGCTCAGGGGGCCGGCTAGGACAGGCGCGAACGGCGCAGGGGGCCGGCTAGGAACAGGTGCGACGGCTCAGGGGGCCGGCTAGGACGGGCGCGAACGACTCAGGGGTCCAGCTAGGACGGGCGCGAAAGGCTCAGGGGGCCGGCTATGACGGGCGCGAACGGCTCAGGGGGCCGGCTAGGACGGGCGCGAACGGCTCAGGGGGCCGGCTAGGACGGGCGCGAACGGCTCAGGGGGCCGGCTAGGACGGGCGCGAACGGCTCGGGGGGCCGACTAGGACGGGCGTGACATGCTAGGGGGGGCGCGACGAGGGCCTAGGGCGGAAGTGTGGGCGGCGGGACCTACCTACCAAGCGTGATACCATCTTAACGTAGGATTGAATGTCGAGAGGAAAACATAGAAGGGTATAAGCCTAAGTGTTATACCCTCTAAGATATGAGCCTATACAGTTTATACAAACATAACCGATATATATTTTTGATAAAAGGAACTCTGAAGCGATCCTCAACATTCATTTGAACGAATGTAACGATGCGGTATTAGCTGGACGACAAGTACAGCAAATTGAGTTGGCTAAATCTCGGTACAAAGAAATTTACGTTGTAGATTAAAGATATATATTATGGTTACAAGGCTAATAGAGTTCAGTAAAAATCATAGTAGTCCCAATATAACGTTTTGGAATTTCCGCCCACCATGAATCGGGAATACCATAAATTCGAGCATTTAGAAATATTCCAATTAATATTCGGTTTGCATTTTCAATATAGATGTGAAATCTCCTAATACCGATAAGGTTTGGTAAACATGGCTATATATATGGAATGTTTCAGGTCTTTATGCTATTATCAATAAATATTTTTTCCATAATATAATAATAATTAGCGAAAAATGACACCACAAATATTTTACATTCACAATTTTTTGAATATTTTTTTCAATTTTGAATGAGAAACATGTATAAATGCAAATAAAATCAAGCGATTCCGAAAAAAACTACTCTTTCTCAGGGTCTTTTTTTGTTCATATGATTCCTAATAATGAAATAATGTACCATGAAGGAGAAAACAACTGCTGATATATGCTGGCTTGATCAGGCACATGCATGTTATGTTTTGTTGAATAGTTCTGATTTGCATGATAAGTGTTTCTATCATGCGGATCCTAATACACTATGTTTTTTAATTTCACTGCATATTTGAGTGCGGCTGCAAACTCTTCCCAGAAAAGCTCCGAGATTCTGTTTCCGAACTGGTTTCCGACCTTGTAGCTCGCGATTACTTGCGACGGACAGATAGTATGGAGTATAGGTCATATGCCTTGTAGACGACTTACTTTTACGCTTAGGAGTATCTCATAGATATTTTATCATTAAGGGCCTCTCGTTGTAGACAAAGTGTACCCGTGCCATGTGAACGGTTTTCATTACAGTCAATTGGCAACATTTTTTCGAAAGCCAATCAGTGTTTTCGTGCGACGATTTTCAATGGCAGGCGATCTGACACTGGCTGTTTGTGTCAGAATCGTCAACCAATGCTCGGAGCCGAATCCACATGACTTTCTGGAAAATCCAACAACCACTAGACCAGCCATTTATGTTCCTCCACGTTTGCCTCACAAATTGTGTGAGTAATGTTTGTACAATTGGGGGCTTGTTTTATATCACTCTGAAATGAATCCGGATGCGCAAAAAAACTGGTTACCGTTCTCGTCGATGTTCGCATACCCCGTACATTTGCGATTTTCTCAAATGTAAACGCCTTTTCCTTGTTCTTGATAGAGCGCATTGAATGTTGTGTGGAATCTAAAACTTTACCATGAACCCTGAGTTGACGCGCGTGCGACATGGCGAGCGACACCTGATCGCAACAAACGCCAACACTGCCGACCATGAACAGTTCATAAAATACAAGCAAAAAACATTTTGCGACACGCCAGAGTCCCGTTTGCCCGAGCATATTCGATGTACGCGAAATCCCCCGAGTCGCCCCCCGGGCTCTCAGGGAATATGACCAGTATACTCCTTTTTATCTGCGAATATGCGTGTGTCCGTTGAAGTAAGGCGGGAGCCCACGAAAGTATTGACGGAGTCCACGGAAGCAAAACTTCGATGTGGTGTCCAGGAAGGTAGGGCTTGTCCACGAATGTACGAAAAGTTTCGTGGACAATCCGCGGCAGTAATTTTCCCGGGCCGAGCCTGCAGAAGCCAAGGATTCGCATGTACTCGCTGAAGCGAACCCCATTAAGAATCGTAATTCTTTACACTTGAAGTCGACTGTAACGCAAATGATCGAGTAAGAGCTGTGCAAACCGAATTGGACGCCTTCCACCCTCACCTTGCATGCATGGTTCTTGCTGCCTTCATCCGCAAGTCCCGTTTCAGCCTACTATCGACAGACCCCTCTGGACGACTGGAAGCTTATTAGTTAGGCACAACTCATCTCAGGAGTGCCGCGCGATCGCTGCTGTTTGGACGCCCCCAAATGCTCTGAATAATTAATCACTCTCTCCGGGTAGTCGAAAACCTACAGACATGGCTGACGAACCCGATGTGGCTATGGAATCTCTGGCGACAGCCACGTCGGACACTAGCGATCATGCCGAGATAGTCGCACAGGTCGCAGGTGACAAACAGGTCGCAGGAGTCGCACAGGTCGCAGGCGACTCCGTCGCTGGCGTCGCTCATCCCGCCGAGTTCGACAAGGAGCAATTCGTTACTGTCATCCCCCTGCAAGCCCTCGCCGTGCCGGCGCGGCTGGCGCAACGGACGTCTCGCATCGTTGACGGGTGCGTGGGGATCACAGGCGGGTGACTGGGAAGCAGTGAGGAACGCGAGGGGGTGAATGGTGAGCATGTGCGATGGGGGTGGGATTATAGGCGCATGATCCTGCGACCCAAACACTCATATCCGCATGTTTTCCCGCCTGTCCTTCCAATCCCCCCGCTCCCTTCTGTTACAGCCACACCTTCGACCGACCTCGCTTGCGTCACATCCTTCCACATCCCAGCGACGCCTCTCTGCGCCTGGTGCTACTGGATGACGTCATCAAGGACGCCACCAAGGGTGAGTGTGAGACGGTCAGGTTTTCGGGTTTCAGGTTTTGGGCTGGTAGGTATGCGGGTTTCGGGTTTCATGTGAAGGGCTAGTGTGTGGCTTCTGCAAGCGCAAGTCGAGGTTTCGGGTTTAAGCCCATCAGCAATCCAGGGATCATTGCTACAGGATGTCCCTATCCTTTTTATTTCAGTAAGTCGTCGGCCCCCCTCCCTCATCCTCTGCATTCTTTTCTATAATCTAGTCTCCTGTCACATTCTGTACCTTTATTTCGGGAACCTTCCTTTCTGTTTGGGAGAGTATTTTCGGTTGGAATGGAATGGTGTTCGGTTCAAAAGGATTTGACGTGCCCTTGGAAGGGCACATGTGTTTGGAAGTCCCAAGTCACGCGTCCTCCCTCTGCGGTGCATGTGTCTTCGCAGCGCCAGCAGCATGTTGACACATCTTAAAAGCTCCCCCCCCCATCCCCAATCGCCAGATCTCCCACCAGCCATTCGGCAGCAGCTGCAGGGGGAAGGGCTGTTCAACGTGGCCACGCACGACCAGTGCCTGGACTACTCGTACTGGCCCGCAGGCGAGTCAAGTCAATGGCTTCATTGTCTGTCTGTTTTTATCATTTTGACACCAGTGATGTGCGGCTGTGCCTTGGCTGGACGTGAAGGTCAGCTGAGTCAGAGGTGCGGCTTGAGGTTGAGGCTCCTTGGAATGGGACTGTTGAGTATTGTGACTGCTTCTATTGGCCAGCAGGTGCGTCAAGGGGGGAGGGGGGGGGGAGGTCCCGTCCTCTCTGTTGTCGAGTTGTGACTGTTCATCTGCCTCCATGGCTTGGTTGGTTGTTTCAGCAGGCAACCTTCTGCAAGAAATGCCACCACACGGTTTGTCACTCCTCCCTCAATGCGATGCCATCCCTCCCTTCTCACCCCGTTGTATCCCTTCTTACTCCATGTCATCCCTTCTCATTCACTGTCATCCCTTCTCATTCACTGTCATCCCTTCTCATTCACTGTCATCCCTTCTCATTCACTGTCATCCCTTCTCATTCACTGTCATCCCTTCTCATTCACTGTCATCCCTTCTCATTCACTGTCATCCCTTCTCATTCACTGTCATCCCTTCTCATTCACTGTCATCCCTTCTCATTCACTGTCATCCCTTCTCATTCACTGTCATCCCTTCTCATTCACTGTCATCCCTTCTCATTCACTGTCATCCCTTCTCATTCACTGTCATCCCTTCTCATTCACTGTCATCCCTTCTCATTCACTGTCATCCCTTCTCATTCACTGTCATCCCTTCTCATTCACTGTCATCCCTTCTCATTCACTGTCATCCCTTCTCATTCACTGTCATCCCTTCTCATTCACTGTCATCCCTTCTCATTCACTGTCATCCCTTCTCATTCACTGTCATCCCTTCTCATTCACTGTCATCCCTTCTCATTCACTGTCATCCCTTCTCATTCACTGTCATCCCTTCTCATTCACTGTCATCCCTTCTCATCCACTGTCATCCCTTCTCATTCACTGTCATCCCTTCTCATTCACTGTCATCCCTTCTCATTCACTGTCATCCCTTCTCATTCACTGTCATCCCTTCTCATTCACTGTCATTTCTTCTCATTCACTGTCATCCCTTCTCATTCACTGTCATCCCTTCTCATTCACTGTCATCCCTTCTCATTCACTGTCATCCCTTCTCATTCACTGTCATCCCTTCTCATTCACCGTCATCCCTTCTCATTCACTGTCATCCCACTTCCCCACAAAAGTAACGCGCCCAACCAACCCCCTTCCTCCCCATCTCCCATCTCCTCGTCATACTTAATTTGTCTCGCGACCTCCCTTCCGCAAGTCTAGAACGACTAACCCGTCGAACTCCTTATGAGTCACTGAACCCAGTGCCGCTCCTCCACATAGCTTTTGCAAATCGCGGGCATAATGTAGGCCGATCTCCCTTCCGATTTCGACATGCTGGTTTTTTTTTATACTCGAGCAGTAGACATTAGCCCGCGATTTGAAGATTTCGGGATTTTTTTCCGGCGAAAAAAATTCCCTGCCCGGACATACATACGCGTAATTACGCATACGTAAACGTAAACGTAGCATTATGCGTAACGTTACGTTTACGCGGCTGGCTGGGCGTAAGAGCCCAACTAAGGTGTCATCATTTCTCATTCAATGTCATCCCTTCTCATTCTGTATCACCCCTTCTCACTCCGTATCACCCCTTCTCACTCCGTATCACCCTTTCTCAATCTTTCTCGCCCCTTCCCTCTCCTTATTTTCGAATAACACTCCCTATTTCCCCTTTTCTCTCCATGTCACCCTTTCTCACACCTCGCTGGTGTCCCCACAGACCACATACTGCGGAAGTTGCTGCCACCAGGGGTTGAAGTGCCCACAGCGTTTGAAACTGTCGGTGAGCGAAGCTGCAGTGTGTGAAAATAGTTCCTCCTACTACCAGAGATGTGGTACTACCACGAGTTTGGTACCATAGTACCATGTGCAGCAACGTTCAAGTTGAGACAATAGCATGGCAGGTGCAGTGGCAAGTGCCCTGCCCTCTCAAGTGGTCCTTGTATTGATGGGCGTGACGTGGCCGTCTCGCATGGCAGTTGTACAATGCACAGTAGTGCGAGAGTCATCCGTGCAAGATGACCACATACTGCTATGGTCCAAACTCTACCCCCCCTGTAGTGTTTCAAGGAGGCTTTGCCACGGGGTCACCCTGGAGCCCTCATGGGATCACCCTGGCCTGGAGCCCTCATGGGGTCACCCTGGAGCCCTCATGGGGCTGTCACGTTCAACTTTCTGTCGTCGATATGGCGTTTGCGCCGTCTGTCTCCACTGCTGGGGCGCAGAAGCCCATGTGATCATGCTGTCTGCACTGCTGGGGCGCAGAAGCCCATGTGATCATGCTGTCTGCGCTGCTGGGGCGCAGAAGCCCATGTGATCATGCTGTCTGCGCTGCTGGGGCGCAGAAGCCCATGTGATCATGCTGTCTGCGCTGCTGGGGCGCAGAAGCCCATGTGATCATGCTGTCTGCGCTGCTGGGGCGAAATGGTTTTCTGGCGAGTGTGTGTGGGCGAGCTGGCTGGCTGGGGATGTGTGCTGTGTCAAGCCCGAGACCTTAATGGACAAGGTGTTTTCACAGCCGCGAGTCGTTTATGGGGTCTCCTCGCCACAGGCAAACACCCCTGCTACATTTCTGTGAAGTTCTCTCTGAGCATGCTAGGGCTGTTGCGAGTTTTCCCGCGTGGAACGTTGGGTTTGGGGTAGCAGGAAGGGCGGAGTCAGCCACGTGCGCCCCCCTCTCTTGTCAGGATGATGGGTCTGCGAGGGTGCCTTATTTCTGGCACAAATCGGACATGAAGGAGAGGGGGTGAGGTGGGTACGTTGGGGATATAGTCCATTCAGTGGGCGTTTGTCCTGATTCGTCTCACTTAAACTCAGATCTAAGTTGGCACTTTACGCCCCTACCGGTCACGTAAACGTACAGTTACGTGTACGTTTACGTTTACGTTTGTTTACGCGTAAAGTTTACGTAAAGTCGTACGGGCAGGGCAAATAAAAGAGAAAAAAAAAAAAAAAAAAAAAAAAAAAAAAAAAAAAAACGCGAAATTGGAAGCTACGCAGCCCGCATGAGGTGTGAAAGGTGGTTGCGATGCGGTGTATTCGCGGATCCTAGGTGTAGAAGAAGTCCGCAAGCGCGGAATTGTTTAGGCGCTGATACGCCAAGCGACGGATGTCTCAAACTCTTAGGCGGCGGATTAGGAGCAGAATCGTCAAGCAGGAGAGAGTAATAGCGATTTCGCTCGAGTAGTACCAAGGGACGTGGGCGCTGGATTTACGGCAGGCGGGAGGGAGGGAAATCGGGTATAATCTATGTCTACTAGGCTATGTTGAATTGCTTAGGTACTTGGTCGTGCTAGGTTTCCGATGACGGGGAGATCTGCTGGTAGTTGGGTAGCGAAACTTGCTTCCCGACGAGTTTGAGCCTCGCTGCACATGCGACGAGTTGGAATGTTCACTGGAATGAGGGCGCGTTCCTATCGCGTGTCAAGCGCGCATGTCAGGGAACCTTGGGTCAGCTCTCGCCCCTGAGATCTGACACGAGGTGCAAAGAAAGAATCGGGCAGGCTGATTTTTTTTTAGCAGACCGTAAACGTAAAGCCTTTTTGGGCCCACGTACGTAAACGTAACTTTACTGCGTAAACTACCGTAAACGTAAGGTGCCAACTTAGACTCAGATCTCATCCGTATTTTAAGGGAGGTTCTCGGGTGGAATCTTGGGGGCAATGAGCCGTGGCCTGTGGGGCCCATGGCTGGCTGGAATGGGAGTGTCTTCCAGAGAGGGCACTGTCTGCACGTGCCTAGTCGCCACAGGTGTGAAGGCCTCCGTAAACTCTTATGGGGGCCTGTTTCAGGTGATGCCGTCCACGTGGGCTAGAAGCGCTACGTATGCCGCCACTCTGTGGATCAGGTGCTCCGGGATTGAGGCAGCAAAGAGTAGGGGAGGGGGCAGGGGGGTCGTCCTGTCATACTTGTTTGCTGCTGCTGGGGAGGCTGAGGAGGGCGTTTTCATCGGCCAAGGTGAGGGATTTGGGGGTCTCACAACGGGAGCATACCCTGGGGTGATGTTTCAATTGAAGGCGTTGTTTGCTGCTGCCTCAGTCATGTTCTTGACTGCTAGTTATTTGCCCCTCTTGCGACCGAGAAACCAAACTGAATGGGAAGAATAAAGCGTTTGTTCTCCCCACAAGGACCCAATAGTGCTGCTTTAGCGGCGATTTAGAGCAATGCGCCCCCCATATCAATCGGACGGAACTACCCCTTCTGGCTGAGCGAAGACTTTGAGACGGGCGGATGAAACTGCGTGAGCATCGCTAGTGTTAGTAGCGGGCAGCACTTGCGAGAGTAGCAGGAGCAGTATTGGTGTTAGTAGAGCGGGCATCATTGGCGGTGGCAATGGCGACAGCAATGGCAAACAGCAATGGTGGTAGTAGCACGCGCAAGGCTTTCGACAATAGCATTGGCAGCACTGGCGACAGTAGTCCAAGCAGCACCGGCAGCAGTGACACGAGGAGCACTTGTCAAGGAAGAGGTAGGCGAGGAGAGATCTGATACTGTTGAATGGGTAGCAAGTGGAGTGACTTCTTCGATTGCTGTAGGTGCAGAAGCAAGTATTGCACATGCATTGTAAGCAACAAGAGCAGCAGTAAGAGGAGCATTGTTATGCATCTCGTGAGCCTTCTTCCGTACACTATTTGCCACGACAAGAAAGAAAGAGATTCGGGTGTGAGCAACCCAAACTTCTCATGGCAAATGGCATATAGAAGGAGCACCAGGTGCAAAAGATACTCCTCCCACCGCTGATCCTGTTGCTAGCAATGCAGCTACGATGCACGCTCATGCATCTGCAGCAATCGAAAATGCCAGTTTGCTTGCTGTCTTTCCACATCTATCAGTACTCTCATCGATTGCATCTCTCTACCGGCGCTCCTCGTGCCTCTGCTGCCAGTGCTGCTCGCCTTGCTGCCGCCAATGTTGCGTGCGCTACTGTCTGCTCCTCCCACCCTTGCTCCTCTCACCCTTGCTCCTCCCCCCCCCCTCCAACCCGCCTCTCTGTCGCTCGCTATATATCTATTTCTCTATACTGTCACTGTTAAGACACTTAACCTTTTTCTATTTTCCGCTGCTCTTCTCTTCCTTTTTTGCCCATCCGTTTTACCCCGCGCCTACCGCTTCAACATCGACCCCTTGTCACTCCCCATGGCCCATGTCAAGCTGCCCCACCATCTGCTCTTCCCTGTGTTGCGGCAACTCAATCCCCTTCTGTCAACCCACCACTCTCCCACTCTCCTTCCCCTCCTCCCCGCTCTCACTGCAGGCCACATCGCCCATGTCAATCTGAGGGATGAGCTGCTGCCGTACCGCTTTGTCATCGGGAGAGTCTTGCTCGATGTGAGTTTCATGGCATGGAGTGGCATGGATTTCCGGGTTGGCGTAGGACCCTGGGATTCTGGAGTACGCTGCCGGTCACATGAGAATCCAGAGTTGTTTCTCAAGCAAGGGATCGTTGCAATGAGTTGTAAGCGAGGGCGGGGCCTATATTGCCTGGAGTCTCTTGGAGCCAGTCGTTTATGTGCTCCATTGCCTTCTTGTGAGGCGCCTCAAAAATAGACTTCTTGTGGCAGCTAGAATATAAGTAAGCCTGCGATGCGGTCGTTCTTGTTCTGACACTGCCTCCCTTGGGGTCGCTCAACCTTGCCTGTCTGCTCCCTCATTGCCTTTCCTGTCCTTAACCCACTTGCCTCACTTCCAGAAAAACGCACCCCTTATAAGAACAGTTGTCAACAAGAGCGGGATCATCGAAAACGAGTTCCGGGTGCCGACTCTCGAGGTGATAGCTGGGGAAGGCTCATCCACCAACCTAGAGACCTCTGTGCGCCAGCACGGGGCCACCTTTCACTTGGACTATGCCCGAGTGTACTGGAACTCACGTCTAGAGCACGAGCACAAGCGCTTAGTGGATGCTTATTTCAAGAAGGGAGATGTGGTGGTCGATATGTTTGCTGGTGTGGGCCCGTTTGCGGTGCCGGCTGCGCGCGCGGGGTGCGCCGTGTTTGCGAATGATCTGAACCCGGACAGTGTGGAGTATTTAAAAAGGAATGTGAAGGTGAATAAGGTGGAGAGACGGGTGAGGGCTTATAACGAGGATGCACGGGTGTTTGTGAGGCGGGTTCTTAAGCCGCCGGAAGGGGGTGCAGCTGAGGAGGGTCCGGTCCAGGAGAAAGGGACTGTGGAGGGAGAGGAGGAGAAGAAAGAAGGGGAGAGGAAGGAGGAGAAAGAGCAGGAGGAAGCAGCAGGGAGGGGGGTGAAGAGAGAAAGAGGCGATGGGAGCAAAGAGGAGGAGCAGAGAAAAGGAGATGGGATGGAGGTGGAGGGTCTAGGGGAGCAGAGGCTAGAAGTGGGGAGCACAAGTGTAAAACGCGGGGAGGCAGTCGTCATGGGGAAAGGGGTTGAGGGGGTGACGCGGGACGCACAAGGGCAGGCAGGGGAAGAAGCAGGAGAGAATGGCAGTGAGGCACGGGATGGTGTTGAGGGGGCTGGTGGCATTGCGGGCCAAGACAGTTGTGGGAAATCAGACGACAGAGACAGAAATGAGGGGGGAGGAGCGGCTGAGGGAATGGCAGGGGAGGAAACGGAGGAGGTTAAAGAGGGAGGGAAGAAGGGGGGGTTGGGGGAAGGTAAGGAGGAGCAGAAGGGCGAGGGGAAAGGGAGGAAGGGCAAAGGGAAGAGGAAGGGAGGGAAGGGCGAGAGCAAGGATGAGACGGACTCCATGGATGCGGCATCAGTGGCACCATGGCAGCACGTGGACCACGTTGTCATGAACCTGCCCGCCTCTGCCATCACATTCCTCGGTGCGTGTGAATGCGGGCACATCCTGAGTAGAGCACCTTATGCGGCCTCACTAGATGGCAGGCAGCACGTGGACCATGGTGTGATCAACCTTCCCACCTCGGCCATCCGTTCGTAGGGTGAGTGTGTGCGTGCCAGTCTGTGCGAGACATGGGTTCAAGAGGCTTTGATGGGTGGCAACAGGTGCATCATGTCGACATGATCCTTCTCGCCTCCGCCATCACATTTTGTCGGTGCGTGGATCCATGTTAAAGGGTTTCTTTGTAGACAATCTCTGAGACAGGAGTTTCTCCCCTCCGCCAGAAGACGCACCCTCCTACTCTCACCCGTCATCCTCTCTCAACCTTCCTCGCCTCGCACCACACCCTCCATTCTCTCAATCGCCCCTCCCCCCGACCTCCTCCCCCATCCGCACTCCTCCTGCGGTGCCTTTTCTCCCACCCGCTGGGTGGGCCTCTTGCTCTCTCTCATCCGTACCTCCCACCCACTGCATAACACGCATTGCAAACACCACTTCTCCCCATCCCCAACCCACCCAATCCCCTACCTCCTCCCCCATCCAGACTCCTTCCGCGGTGCCTTTTCCCGCGCCCACTGGGTGGGCCCCCTGCCCCTCGTCCACACCTACTGCTTCCAGCGCTCAGGCCAGTCGGCAGAGGCAGTGATCAAGGTAGGAGACAGTCGGAGGCTTATGCCGTGAGACAGGTGGGATGTTGGTGGAGGCAGGCATGGCGGTAGCCTGGTAGGGGATTTCCCTGCAGTCGAGGCTTTCGGCAGAGTGTGAGTAAGTGGGACCCCTTGCCCCTCATCCGCACCCACTGCTTCCAGCGCTCAGGGCAGTCTGCAGTGGCAGTGAACGAGGTAGAGCGCTGGTAGAGGCAGAGAAGAGGGATGTGAATGTGGGCATGTGGGCAGATGATGGGAATGTGAGCTAGGCGTGTGCCTTGCAGTGGTAACTTGTGAGTCGGTGCGAGCACGATCGCCGCTGGTGGAGACTTGAGGGTTTGCCATGCCTGTCGTCAGCATGTGTGTGGGCTCACATGTACATCTGGTGCTGCACACAGTGATGATGATGCAACGACACCCACACTATCCGTTGAGTGTTGGTTGCTGCATCCGTGGGCAACCATGCACCTTCTCAACCATTCTGGCCCCTGTGGTTTGTTTGCCATGAAGGATGTTCCGCGCACGTCCCTTGCCTTCACTGCCTCGAATGCTCTTGGTGTGGATCTCATCGCATCCCTCTCCTTGCCCCCCTGCGTCCATGAGCTCACCTGGTTTCATTACTCCTCATTCCGATGCTTATTCCCCGCACAAACCTTCTCTCCCGTGCGTCGCCTGCCAGGAGGTGGAGCAGCACCTTGGAGCGGCGGTCGATGCTGCCGCCATGTCTATCTATCAAGTCAGGAACGTGGCACCCAATAAGGTGAGGACACATGGCAGGAATAAGTGGCAGCCAATGAGGTGAGGTGAGGCGAGGAACGTGCCAAGCAGCACTTCAGGCACCTAAACCGCGTTCTCTTTTGTGAAAGAGGTCCTTTTTGGGCCAACAGAGAGGTGGCCGTCTGTTGGTCAGACTTCTTCGTGTAAATCAGGTCCGTGTCTCCTTGGTGCTTCCACCACCAGCTGTGCTGTGCTGTGATGTCTCTTACCGTCTGTGTTGGGGGTTGTCACTATTAGGATGTGCGATTTTCCTTGGCTGTTTCGTTAGTGTTTTCGGGTGACGAGCCTGGCTGCCCGTGAATGTGTTATCTTCTCTTCCCTCCCTGCAGGACATGTTGTGTGTGTCGTTCCGACTGCCAGAATCAGCCGCTTTTGCTGCAGACTCGTAGGTGCGGGGGGTGTCAAGATGAGTACCGGTAAGGGTATCGCATGCGGTTTTTGTAAACAAACACCAGTTGAATACAAGGCTATGTGTATGTGTCTGAATAACGGTACTACCATATTCCCTGGCAGATTCTTGGCCCAACAACACCAAGGATTCTTATTCTGACTCTAGTAGTCATCACAACAAGCTTCCTGCGTATTTCGTTGGTATGCATCATTACTTACTATGCTGTGTTGCCTTGCCTATTGTTGGAAACAAAGAATTGGAGAAGTAACCAGTTTCTGTAGTATCGAGACTAAAGCGATACTGTGGAGTGGTCAACAACGAGTACGGCGAGTCAACGGAGGTTACATGCGGCAGTTGTGCTTGTAATTAAAGCGCGTGGCAGTTGAAATAACTTGTCCTATGTTGTAGAAGACTAAGTATAAAACTGCAAATACGAACACTTGGAAATCCTCAAGTGTTGGCCCAGGTATCAGAATTGTAAATTGTATGATAGAGTGAGAGTACACACAACTATACCTAAGTGTTGTACCCTCTAAGAGGTGACCCTATACAGTCTATACAAACATGACAACTACACATGTTTGACACACCCCCTAGACTGCATAGGAGAATGTCCTAAACAAGCAGCTCAGGGCGGCACTACTAGTCCAACCTCTGAGACAAGGGTCTGAGAGACCAGTCAGAAGGAGTACAGACAAGGCAAGAACAAGAGCAGGGCAACACTACTAGTCCAGCCACTGGGAGAGGACACAAGTCCAGTCTGAGTATACATATAAAGGACAGTACAAAGTCAAGGTCCTAGCAAGTGAGAGGCTACAGGAACTAGACCAAGCTGTACACAGTGCCGCTGATGATCTTTAGGCGCAAGCGCCTTCGTAAAGATATCAGCCGTCTTGGCACCTGAGGCCAAGTGTACTACGCGAGCCTGACGTCGCTGCTGTAGCTCACGCAGGAGGAAGTACCGTAGCTGAATGTGCTTCGCTCTGCCCTCGAGTCGAGGCTCCTCACACAGGAGGATCATGGCCCTGTTGTCAGCGAACAGGACCGGGGCAGAGCTAGGCCGCTCACCTAAGTCAGTGAGCAAGAAGGTCAGCCAGCGGAGCTCCTGTGCCGCCATGGCACCAGCGTAGATCTCAGCCTCACAGCTGGACTGCGCCACAGACGAGGAGCAAGTAGCTCTCCACGAGACGGCACCTGAGCCAAGGCTGAAGCAGTAGCCCTGGGTAGACCGGAGTGTCTCAGCGTCGTCTGCCCACGAAGCGTCTGTGTGTCCAGTAAGGACCACTGGCCTGCGTCCTCCTAGCACTAACCCCATGCCCGATGTACTAGCAAGATAACGCAGAACCCTCTTAGCGGCAGACCAGTGCTGCGGTCGGTGTCTGCCTGTGGCCACAAAACGAGCCAGGATGCTGAGAGGGTATGCGAGATCTGGGCGAGTGCAAGTCATCAGGTACATGAGGCAACCCACCAGCTCTGCGTAGGGGCCACTGGGCTCTACCAACTCCTCAGACACTGGAGCGGAGAGCCTGTGGTCTACAGGCAGAGGGGTGGGCTGTGCAGAGGAGAACTGAAGGCTGAACCTCTGAAGGACCTGGCGCACCAAGTGTGACTAAGTCAGGGTGATGGTGCGCGCAGCTCTGTCCCTGGAGATCTGCAAGCCAAGGTAACGGCGCAGTTCTCCAAGGTCAGTGCAGGTGTGTCTCTTCAGCAGCTCTGCCTTCACGGAGGCCAGTGCGTCCCTGTCAGCTGTGGCAAAGACTAGGTCGTCGACGTAAACAAGGATGTAGAACGGAGTCTGGCCAGCACGAACGAAGAGGGAAGGGTCTGCAGAAGACGGAAAGAACTGCAGGTCAGCAAGCGTAGCACGAAGAGTGTCGTGCCACTCACGGGGAGCCTGGCGCAGGCCGTAGACGGGGCGCCGCAGGAGCCACTGGGTCCCAGGAGGGAAGGTGCCAGTAAAGCCCGGAGGGCGACGTAGGTAGACCTGCTCGTGTAGGCTGCCCTGAAGGAAGGCAGTGGAGAAGTCGAGGGAGTGAAGCTCGTAGTCACGCTGAGCAGCTAGGTGTAACAGAACCCGAAGAGTAGTCATCTTCGGGGTCGGAGCGAAGGTCTGGAAGAATTCCACCCCCTCGCGCTGACTGAAGCCTCTAGCCACGTAGCGCGCCTTGAATACAGGCGGCTCTCCAGGAGGGCGCTTCACCTTGAAGAGCCACCGGCCATCGACTACGTTCACCCCAGGCGGGGGAACTGCGTCGACGAAGGTGCCGGTGGATCTCCAAGATGCCATCTCCTGCTCCATGGCAGCTATCCACTGCGAGGCCCAGGGTCCCGAGGTCGCCTCAGCAATGCGAGGGGTCGGGATGTCGAAAGCGTCTGGGTCACCCTCAGGGACTAGCAGCATGGAACAGAGATGGGGAGCAGCCTCGGAGAGGAAAGCAAGCTCGAACTGGCGGTCCTCCAGGACGTCAATGCCAAGGGCAGGAGCACCCCCGACAGACGGAGGACAGGCAGTGTCAGAGACCAGAGCGGAGGCGTAGTCAAGGCGGCGGGTAGAGGCGAAGTCAGCGACAGCAGCGACAAGGGCGTCAAGGCACGAGGGTGGAACGGACGGGTCGGTAACGAGAGAGGCAAGGACCCGAGGAACAAGGGGACGAGCGGCACGAAGGTAGTCAGACAGCGGGGGGGGTGCAACAACAAGGGAGGACGGAGGAGGCGACGGCAGAAGGGGAGGACGAGACGCGTGGGAACGAAGCAACATAGGGTGGGAGCGCAAGACAGGCGAGGCAGGACGAGCACGGGAGGGACGGTGAGACCAGACGTGCGACGGAGGAGTCGGGTCAGGAGACAGGGGAGGGGACACAGGAGGGGAACGAGGGGGGAGACGGGCCGGGGACGAGTCCGGCGGAGGGAAAACAGGGCCGTGGATAGGAAGAGGAGGAGACGGCAGGAGAGGAACAGACGCAGGGTCGGGGGACGGAAGGCCGAGCAGGCGAAGGGCTGACACCGGCGGGGACTGCTGCTGCGGCGGCACAACGGCGACACCTGGACTGCAAGCTGCTCCTCGGCTACCACCGGCACTCTCCACACCAGCACCCCCAGAGGGGCCACCCCCAGGGCGACCGGGACGAGCACCCCCAGAGTCAGCGAACGGGGGCTGCGACGGCGGCGGCAGCGGCGGCGGCGGCGACAACGACGGCTGCAGCGGCGGCAGAGGCGGTGGAGGAGGGGACTGGGGAGGGGACGCCGGGGGAGGGGCAGCCGGCGAGGACTGCACAGGAGGGCCACCAGAGTCAGAAGACTCCTCAACCGGGTCCTCCGACGGAAGGGGGGTAACGTGGGACACACCAGAGGGGGCGGGACGGGGAGGAGGAGGAGGAGGGGCAGGGACTACCGGGGAAGGAGGGACCAGGAACAGGGGGGGAGTAACCGGGGGACCACGGTGGGGGAAGCGACGGTAGTAGGAGACGGACTCGTCAAAGGTGACGTCACGAGAGTGAAAGATGCGGTGAGACGGCGGGTGGTAAAGTGCCAGTCGGACGCGTCAAGGGGAAAACCGAGGAAGACGCAAGGAAGGGTGCGGGCAGTGAGCTTGTCTGTGCCGGAGGCACGGACGTGAGCAAGGCAGCCCCAGACGTGGAACGCAGACGCGTCACCAGGAGACCCAGTCCAAAGACGGGTCGGCGAAACCTGCGGCTGCTGAGGGTGCGGCCACAGGTTAAGCTGGTGAGAAGCGTAGCGCACAGCGAACGGCCACAGAAAATGGGGTGCACCGGCATGGATCATGGAGGTGCGAGCCACCTCCATGACCAAACCGATGCGTCGCTCAGCGACCCCATTCTGCTGTGGGGAGTCCGGTAGGGTGAACGTCTGGGTGATGCCCTCCGCACGACAAAAGCGACCAAGGACACCTGAGGCAAACTCGCCACCACGGTCTGAGTGAAGACGCAAGACAGGAAGACCGCGGTGGACACGCGCAGAGACAAGCCAGGGGATGAGAGCGCCAGGCACGTCGGCCTTGCGCTCCAGGGGAAAGACGGTGGTGTAACGAGTGAAGTCGTCGACAAGCACAAGGAAGTAGTGCTCTCGACGCGGCCCAGGGACGGGGGCGGGGCCCCAGACGTCCAGGTGCAGGGTCTGCAGTGGCGCTGGGGTAGGGGGAAACGAGGAGGAGTGAGGGGCACGGCGAAGCCGACCCTCGACACAAGGCGTGCAAGGGGGGGCGGGGGAGGAGGGAAACGCGGGGAGAGAACCTGGGAGACCAAGGACAAGACCATGCTGGGACATGTGACGCAGATGCGGGAGCGCAGGGTGACCTAGGCGGTGGTGCCAAAGGAGAGTCGGGTGAGTGAGGGACCGACAGGAGCAGGCAGCAGCAACCAGGGTAGACGCAGCCACCTGAGGGGGCGCTCCAGCCGGGGGGGTCACGGTGTCCAGAGTGAACAGGCCGGACACCGGGTCCCGGGGGAACGTGGACAGGGGGGCACCAGTGGCGGCCTCGGTACAGACAGCATACCGCTCGTGACCAGGGAACGTAGTGGTGACGCCAAGGTCCTGGAGGCAGCCGACACCAACTAGGTTCCTGGAGAACGAGGGGATATGCAGACCTGTAAGAGAGCCCGAAGGAACCGCCGGACAGGGAAGGGTGGTGGAACTGCGGGCGACTACCAGACCGCCAGAGGGGTCAGCGAGAGAAACGGCAGCAGGGACAGGAAGCGGCGTCAGGGTGGTGGAGTCGCGGAAGAAACACCGAGAAGCGCCAGAGTCCAAGGTGAAGGAAAGCGAAGCAGAGGCGTCTGGCGACGGAACGACGACGGAAGCACCAAGACTACACAAAACAGAGGATCCTACGCCTGACGCAGCAGGGGAGGGTACACTAGGCACACCTACACTATGCAACAGTGAGTAATAAGCGGGAAGCACACTAGAGTCATCAGCATACATCACATGCAGAGCAGAAACAAAGGCATCCATGTCCATATCAAAGATCTGAATCTTACGACTAAGCAAACTGTGCCAGTCCGGGGGGTCTGGCGACGGGCCGAAGCGCTGACGAGAGAGGTCGTCCAGGCGACGAAAACAGCGGGGAGTGGAGTGACCGATCTTACCGCAAACGAAGCCACGGCGAGGACCGGTCTGGATCTGGTACTGACAACGCCCGCCACCAGAGCCACCACTCGGCACACCACCACGCGCCCGGCCACCGCCAGCGCCGGGCCACCCGGGCGGGAGGACACTCGTCTGCCGCGGCTGCGACTGCTGCTGCGGCTGCTGCGAAGGCTGCGACTGCGTGTAGAGGTAATGGGCGGCTGGTGGGCTCTAAGCTGTGCGTCAGTGCAGGCGGCGCGCCAGGTCTCATCTATCGAGCGCAGGTGGGTTGCGAGGTCAGAGACAGTGGGGAAAGATGCAAGGTCAGGAAAGAGCATCGGGAGGATCAGGCGACCCACCGAGGCAGCCGGAGGGGTGGAATAGCGCTTGATGACAGCATCTAAGT